GAGAGAGAGAGAGAAAACAGTTATTTTAAATGATAAAAACTTACAATAATATTATTACAAATATAATATTTTAAATGTTAAACAACATGGTAACATATTGTCCATGAATATTTGTAAAATGTCATTGACAAAATATGATGTATATTTTTGTCTACAGTTACAGTAAGTTATAGTAAGCGATATGTGCTTAAATCATTAAAAAATTATCAACTCAGAGTCATTTGTTCAGGAATTGGACTACATTGGTCGTGATGTATGTTTCTGATCCATTGAAAAGAACCTTAAAAATAAATAAACTAAATATTCATAAACAGAACTGTATATTTATTTTTTTAAGCTATATATGTTAAATAAGTACTTTAAATAAATGAACTAACAAAAATCACAACTGAACTTCTGGTTTAGCCAAATATTATTTATTGACTAATTGATTGATTGATAGCACTAGTCTATTATTGTTATTATCTGATTATCTGTTATTATCTGATGCTATTATCAGATTCACTCACCCCTAAACAACACATAAAACAAATAAACTGTGGCTGGGTGCTTTAGATGTCGGTCAGACGGTCTCTTCCTGTCTAAGTGGGCGGAAGTGGACCAGACTGAAAATCAATGGAGAGGTTAGGCGAGAGACCATCTAACCTTGTTTGTTTAAAAATTGCTTTGTACCAAAAAAGCTCAGAAAGCCAAAATCCAATCATGAAATCTGAGCTCTGATATTTACTGTGCTATATGTGTTCATTTGGCCCTTAATGGAGCTTTGGTTTACGTCTGCACTATGCTCACGGTCACACTCACATCTGAGATTTGGCATTGGCTCTAATGTGAGTTGGCCCTGTGCCAGAAGAAAGGGATATTCCCAACAGGATGCATACTGGTTTACAGCAGCTGTATAAAACACAATTTTCATGAGCTCTTGTGTGCTGTGGGCCTCTTTGGAATACCTATTCATCCCCCACCTACAAATATCCCTCCTCTCTCTCTTTCTGTCTCCCACTGAACCCGCCTGCATGGCTAAGGGGTAATCAGCTTGAGTGGTATTACTGGAGGACGTCGGCTCAAGCACAGGGGGAGAGAGAGTGTTTTCATGTGGGATGGAGGACGGACTGAAGAACATGTGTGGCTGTAATAAACAGTCATGTGGAGTCAGGCAGGTTTCAGGGTGAATCACAAGAGAGATGCAGAACAGAACAGAACAGAGAGATTCGCACATGCAGATCACACTTAGAGAGAAGCACCAGTAAGAGCCCAAGAAAGGACACATGCCAAGCCACAAGTTTATTAGTGGTACTTGCTAATCCAAAGATCGCCATGCTTGTACTTACAGTTAAGGATTTGAACCCGGTGGGAAAATTATTCTGCACTGTTATGACACCTTGAATAGGCAGCTTATAGTTGAGATATGTGTTTTCTTTCTACGTGATTAGGCTTTCGATTTTTGACCTGGTAGATGATGAGACAAGGGCAAAACATCCCACTGACTTACACTAAATGAGAGCTTGAGTCCACCCAGAACAACTTAGCAAGCAACGGTGTACCAAAATAAGAAAGGTACATCACTTTAGGGCTAAACAATAAGGATGGCCTGATGGTCCATGACCAGTGTAAGAGAGTTACACATAAATGTGCTTTTATGCTTTGCAAATGAAAACTTTCAGGTGTTCTATTTTATTTTATTATTTTTTTTATAGAAATGAGAATCACAGCTCAATATTTCTACATTCCCCTACTGACCACCACTAGAACGTTGGATTTTTGTGTTTTATTAAACATTGTTGTCCAGTAGCTGGCTAACACAAACAAGATTTTATCCCCATATATTTTCTTAAAATACAATATTATTATTACTATTACTTTAAGGGGGGTCAAACACAAGTATAAATGTACAAATACATGTAAAACCATATTTTACTTGATTTATAAATACATAAAAAATATAAAATATGTATTTTATATACATGTATACTTTAATATATTTATAAACATTATAATATATTTATGGGATAAATATAACGTATTAAAAACATTTAAAAATAAAAAAAATATTCAGCATTTTATTTATATTTACATGTTTATTAATTTTATACATTTATTACAAATGATCATATTTACGCACTACTGTTCAAAAGTTTGGGTTCACCAAGATATTTTTACTGTTTAAAGTCTCTATGCTCACCAAGGCTGTGTTTATTTGATCAAAATTCAGAGTGATAATGTAAAATATTGTTACAGAATTACAAATAATTGTTTCTATTATATTTATTTACAGATGTAATTTATTCCTGTGAAAGAAAAGCTGGATTTTCACAGCCGTTACTCCAGTCTTCAGTTTCACAAGATCCTTCAGAAATCATTTTAATATGCTGATTTGCTGCTCAAGAAATATTTAGTATTTAGAAATATTTAGTATTATCACGATTCCACAAAAATAGTAAGTATTCCTAGACAGATACAAAGCTCAAAAGAACAGCATTTATTTGAAATATAATATTTAGTAACAATATAAAAGTCTTTCACTTCTGATCATTTTTTAAAGTACTGTCGCCAAACTTTAGAATGGTACTGTATACAGTAGGGTTGGGCCGATATCGCCGATGGCTGACAGACATCATGATGTTGAGCCGGATACAAGAAGCATGAGAGCTCTCCTGAATCAAACAACAAGAAAGAAGACCAACAGGACCACTCAGAAGAGAAATATGGACCTGCTGTGAGAGGATGTGTACCGGGCAAACATGGGGCCTTACACACACAAACACAGATAGTGAACACACTCTCTTTAATAAATAGAAACTAAAAACAGCAACATGTGCTTGGTTAATACAGATCTGCATTCAAATTCCCTGCTCATTAGGATCCAAACGGATGGACAAACCTGTTCAGGATGCATCAAGCCACATGGATCGACACGTCACATGTCTCAAAACAAGAATCTGAGAAGCTCTAAACGGGTCTGTACTGAGAAAAGCATTATGGGGGGAATCACAGACCTGGCTGTGAAC